AATGTTTCTAAAACATTCTGACAACAACATCATTTTGTGTTTGTAACGGCCGATTCTTAAAACGTGATGACAAGACCATGGACTTAATTATTCACCTAGGCTGTCGCTCCAAGCTGAGACAGTGACTGACGGGACACACTGCTTGCACCGGTTTCCGATCTGTGTGTCTCCACTGTAATAGCAAGACCCATCGATCTCACAGAAGTTGTCCTGCATATTGAAAAGATATAACAATAGTAGAAATCAGCGGAATGATGTCAGTTTTCATAGGTGCTTTAAAGCATGGGTTTTCAAAGCAACACATCTGCACAGTTGATTATTATTTGTGTAGACACAGCTGAGCCTACGAAAAGCATATCTGATCAGTGATGCTACTTTGCCGTCAAAACGACATCCTGTAATAGTATTACTAATACATTCCTAGGAAATGTTGGGGCTTCGACTAACTACAAGAAGCACCAAAAGCTCATAGAAAAGGATCCCAGGCTACCTAAAAGCTATCCCCCCCCTTACCCTGAGAACACAGAATCCGGTGGCGTTGCAGTCCTGACAGACGGCGTCATACGTGATGAGCAGGACCGGCGGGCTGAAGCGCACACCGTCGTTACTGATGGAGACGAGCGTCGCCTCGGCTGTTGTCCTGTGTCCGGCTGCCGTACTCCTCCTGACACGGGATTGCGGCAGAGGACACACCACACGGGCAAAGTTCTCAAAAGTGGCCGCAACGGTAGTTTTGTCATTGAGAGGATGAACGCCATTCTTGTCAACCTGGAATCAATCAAATTGCAATAGCATTAGAATAGGATATGCATAAATACAAGAGTATACTTGAGTCAATTATTAAAGAAATCCCAGAAAAAATCTGCATATTGAGGGTAATGGGTGATTTCAGTATAAAAGACATGTAAGTTATTAAACATGTCAATTGCACTTCTTCCCGACTAGATATCCGCATACCAGAAACAACACACACCTGTGCCGCCTGTAAAGAACATGTGAGATTGGTCGACTCCAGGAAGTTCTTCCCGATGACAGGAGTCCGTTCGCACGGCCGGATGTTGATGTCACACAGTCCATCCTTGGGAATGAAGAATGCTTCCGGTGGTGTGTCTGATTCTATGGAGCACGACGGACCCTCGAACCCCACCTGACAGATGCACTCTCCTTTCTCACAGATTCCTTTCTGGCTGCAGTTGCCCGGACACGAGACGGTTTCGTAAAAGAACGAAGGGGGTGTCAGGGTACCGTTATTTGTCTGGGTGGAGTTACTTGTCCAGAAGGAAGTGTTCCTGTACAGCAGACTCCCACAACTGCTTTCCATGGTTGTTACAGCAGTTTCCGCCCATGTGGTATCGCCCGTTGCCTGAAAATGGCAGAAAATTAGTTTATTGTCAACAACGCCTTCCATGATGACGCAACAGCAACATTTACTAGTGCCCTATATGATATTGCCAAGTACAATGTCATTTTCCTATAAATTGTAATACACTAATACCCATGCATGGAGGCATTTAAGCTACTATGTCATACTAAGGTCTGATCAGGCATGTTCAAAGCTTTATTTTGATAAAAGATTTTGCAACATGTAAAGAACGTTTGTCTATATTATCACCTGGATATCAGCCACGCACGACTCTGTGGCTGAAGACAAGTCAACTTTGTCTCCAAGAACTGATGTACACAGCTGTCCTGCCGCGGACCCCGTCATGGCGTCCTCACAGAACGTTCTGGCCTCCGCCTCTGTCATCCCATTTGGTGCAGGCCAAGTTGGGGGTGCCTGAATGAAGCAAAACGTGATATATTGTACTTCTAAATTGTGATGAAACATTGCCATTTTCCATACATGTACAAGTCACTAAACTAAATGTTTCATTACAATGCACGTTTAAGTATAAAATATGGCCGCTGCACTATGGCTAGCAAAATGGTCTAATACGTCAATGTCTCACCACAGGAATGGCCGGCTCATTGTAGTCGAAACCGAACATGTCGTCATCGTAGACTTCGTCATGGTAGCTTGTGCTTCGCCTCTTGCGCGCGTTCTGTTGTTCTGCGACAGGCTTAGCACCTGCGCTGGCCGACTTCCACTGACAGTTGTAGGCGTATGATGAGTCGCACCTCACTTCCTGGTAAGAGCCTTCGATGTTGCATTCGCAGTATCTCCGCTCATCTAGAGGAAGAGGAGATGGCTTCAAACTGCCCACGAAGAGATTGTCGTCATCTGGAAGTCTAAAAACAAAGTAAGAAAATCAATAGTTGGTTGTAATAGTTGATCAAATTCAATGAGAACAGCACAGGTAGACTTGATACAAAGAAGAGACCTAATAGTGACAAAAGTAGAATTTTGACAAGCCTACCTTTATTTGTCAGCCTTCTCTTTCCCACATCTTGGGCAGCAATGATTTCCCAAAAAGATACTTTCAGCCATTGGTGGTATTTTGTGGTATTTGCAGCCATTGGTGGTATTTTATATCGTAGCTTTAGCATTCTTAGTCATGTCCAAAAGAAATAGAATTCTTGGTCATGTCCAAAAGAAATCCTTAATCAACGAATGCTTATGATTTGCGAAACAACAGTGAAGAATGAAACCTACTTCCAGCTTTTGACGAATGCACTACCGGTGATCACCTGGTTGTCGCCAATGATAACCTCTGTCTCACGATCTGCATAGAGACCGTCATTTGTCTTGTCGCCATCAAACGTCCCACACAGCCCCTCAGTTTTCTTGTAGTCGTCAGCGGAAGGGTAAAAGTAAATGTTCAGAAACTGGTTGGACGATCCTATCGCTATAATGTCCATCCACGATCCTGTTGGGAAGTAGACCTTGGGAAGATACGCGGCAGTAAAGATGGATGTCGGGGACAAGTCAAGCCCATAAATACAACGTCCAGGTATAAAGTTGTATACCAACTTGAATACCTTTTGACCGGCAGAAATTGCAAAAAGACACGTTACAAATTATCTGCTATTTGCGCTTTTCCGTTTGAGTGTTTTGGTAGTTACAAAGGATAATAAACTTACCAAAAACCGATGTCCTCCATCTTTGTAGTAGAAACGTGTGTCTATCCCCACGGGGCCATGATGTTCCACCTTAGTGGCAAGGGACGATTCAAACTGAACCCATTTTCCCGTGGAGTAGCTGAACCTGTCCACGCCGTCTTTACACTTTGTGATGATGAACACCTCGTTTCCCGCCCGGATAGCAACGCCGCAGTTACAGGCCACATTCCCGGCATTGCACATTTTCGTCCTGGTCTGAACCTTGGAGCAGTACGAACAACAGCGTAATTTTCAACCGACCAACTAATAGGGCAACCATTTAAGTATCCAACAAAAGAGCATAGCAGGAAAGCAAGCAGGCCGCCAACCAAGCAACTAGCCGAATACATTACCTTTAGTTATAGCTTATAGTTGCATTTCACCTGGCACTAGAAAAACAAACTATGCAATATTTGATAAATTTACAGGAAGTGCATGAAATTGACCTACCTCAATGGGGAGGAACCGATGCTTCATCAGAGTAAATGTGCCAGGTTGATATACATGATAGTACCTAACAATTGGGCATAATACACGGATAACACATCAGAAATATAATTCAAAATTGTAGCAATGTTATACCATTGGACATATGTGGTGTACTTTATTAACACATCTGCGTAATACTATTTACCCTAAACAGTACACCTGGGGTCCGCGCGGACCCCAGCACTATATATTCTGTAATATTTTTTTTTTGTTTCTTAAGATTTTTTTCTGAAATTTCAGGTAATTGTCACCCACAAAATTGTCCCTCAACACAGTGCAGAAAACTCAGTTTCCTCCATTTCTAAAAATTTTTATATCTGATTTTCTTTTGGGCCGGCTTTCGATCATAATGTATACACTGGCGTTCTTATACATTACCTTTTTTCCGTTTTTAGATGTTTTATGCACTTATCGAATGGCCACCAAGTTTTCAGAGAATGGTGTTCTAATAGAATTAAATTCTACCAACTTTGGTGTAATTATGACGTCATATGACGTCAGAGCTATTAATATGGTCCGCCATCTTGGACTTGTTATTTAATAGAAAACCCAGAATATTTTTATGTTCAAACCAAAATAACTGATTTTTTCCAAACACAAACGCAAAAAATCATTAACTTATGTAACTAATGCGAAATTTTTAGCAGAAACATTTTAGAAGTGGTCACCAAATTTCATGGTTCTAGCTCAAGCCGTTCAGGCGCTATTTAAGATTTAAGTTGGCGCGGGCCTCAAAAGACCACTCGGTCTGAATAGTGTTCAAAAATCGGGTATTTCTTCCTTTTGTCTTTTCTTCACCAAAAAATGGGAAAAGGTCAAAATGTATAATTTGTGTACGTAATGTGGACTCAGAGGTTCACCCATCAAATTGCAAAGCAATTGAGCTTGTAGTATGTTGATAAGTTCTACAAATTAGCAAAAAACTGTCAGGTGTACAGATTAATCAGTCCGGGAAGGTGTGCTGTTGAGGGTTAACATGCTCTTTTGAATCAATGCTTCTAGGGAAAACAACATATTTTCCATTTTACATGAACACCCACCAATGTGTGGGGTCACCCTGCTGGATAAAGAAAAAGATATCTAAGGTTTCTACAAGAAAGTAACTGTCATTGAAAGTGAAAACACAATAAATGTAATAAATGTCGTTCCTCACTTTCCATCAAACGTGGTGTAGTGCGGGTCTCCTGTGGACTTGCAGACGACATCCTTGTCCGGATCGTTGTTTCGAGTGGTGACCTGAACAGAAAAAGGACCCAAGATACAATTAAACACCCAGAATGTGATGGCTGGAAGAACTGAATTATTAACATGCCGAAGATTCGCTATGACCTTTAAAAAGAAAGCATTTTTTCATAGTATACGTTTGTCGACTCTGATAGATATTAGAGGTAAAGCCTCGAGTGCAACCCGCGTGTAGGTCCCCCATTTTCAATGTTAAACCAACCGTTCTTTATGCGAAAAACACATTGCGTTTTTTCATCAACTTACATAAACGTCTCCAATTTGGTACGAGTCCCACAGAGGCGCAGAATCAACAGAAAACGGGTTGAATCCAATCTTCATGCGCCTTGACCCGTCCGCCATACTGTCACTGACAGCCTTTACTGGGAACTCAATGATTCCGTTCCAAGTGTCATCGTTAAAGTCAACGCTGCAGGTTTCTTGAACAACCTCATTCTGCAAACTTCCCGCACAGATGTTGTCCGCAAAGTCGTCGGTCTTGTGAACAATTTGTACTGACAGTTTGCACTCCAAACCCCATGACGACGCAATTTCATTGCAGACAAGCGGCAGTGTGGGCTGGAGCTGTATGTTCTTTGACTCACCTCCCTCTTCGATCAAAATATCCTGCGTAAGAATCTGTGACGGAAAATGTATTTTTTTTAAACAATAGTGACATCAGCAGAAGGATTTTGAAGATTACCATGTTTCGTTCGTTTTAGTTCTGAATTCAACTGGCTCCACCACCATACATGTACATCATTGCACTCTAGCAGCCATAACCCCATTCAGACGGGGGGGGGAGCTTTCAGGCCCGCGCCAACTTTCAACTCAGATAGCGCCTCAGTCTTAATAGACCTTCATATTGTATTGAATACACTTTTCGTTTGGTTGTATTCCTCCACTTCGTCACTCAGAAAGTCGACTCTCTACGTAATGGGCTAAACTCAGAGATGGGTGATGACCTACTTACCTTGATAAAGAGGGAGATCATGGAAAACAACGACTGCAAGTTTTAGTTCAGTCCGGTGAATGTTGAGGAAGTGCACTCACTCCTGTCGTCTCTACCTGATGGGAAAGCTATGGGCTTGGATAACTTGGACAACACACTACTTAAACTGGCTGCCAATCATATAGCACAACCATTATGTTATATTATAAAGTTTAACCTGTCTTTCACTACGTCTGTTTACCCGTCTGAATGGAAGAAGGCCAAGGTGATTCCCTTGCCCAAGTCTACGTCTGCCCGCTTGAGTGGACCGAACGCAAGACCGATAAGTCTACTTTCGTCCATAAGCAAGATAGCAGAACGAGTTGTGTACAACCAAATCTCCCAGTACTTCTTACAGAACTCCTTAATGACAACCCACCAACATGGTTTCAGGAAACACTATTCCACATGCACAGCTCTCCTGGAAATGGTGGATGATTGGTACCGTAACATTGACTGTGGGAACCTGATAGGAGTGATCTTCCTCGACTTTTCGGCTGCATTTGATCTTGTTGATCATGCATACCTTCTTACAAAGCTACAATGCTATGGTTTCGGTATGGCCGCAGTTGAATGGATGGAGAGCTATCTCTCACAACGCTTGCAGTGTGTTCACTACAATGGCCGTAACTCTTCGTTCAGGGATATCACATGTGGAGTACCTCAAGGGAGCTGTCTGGGACCCCTTCTTTTCAGTATATTCACAAATGATCTTCCTCTAGCCACAAAGGAGGCTGCCTCAGTTATGTATGCAGATGATACTTCTGCTTACACATGTGCACCGTCAATCTCTACAATCAACTCCACCTTGCAGAAAGAGCTACAACACATAAGTGACTGGGTCTTAATGAACAGTTTGTTTCTCAATGCAGGCAAAACAAAATCAATGGTAGTTGGGAGTAAACCAAAAATAAAACAGAACCCAGTACTCACCTTATATTCTAATGGCCAAGTCATCCAGCAAGTAAAGGAAACAAAACTCCTAGGCAGTACTCTTGATGAGTGCCTCACTTGGGACAATCATACAAAAGTGACTGCGAAGAAGATGGCCTGTGCATTGGGAATGATAAGGAAATGTGCCACCTACCTGGACTCTTCATTACTTAAGCTGCTAGTAGAATGCCTCACACTCTCACACGTTGACTACTGCTCACCAGTTTGGTCCTCCACTTCACAGAAGAATGTTCAACAACTACAAGTCATGCAAAACAAAGCAGCTCGTCTGGTTCTACACTGTGACTTCAAAACCCCAGTACAACAGCTCCATGCGTCTCTGTCATGGCAGACTGTCAAGGAAAGGATTCTTGTAAACACTGTCTCTCAGCTACAGAGGGTCATTGCTACACATCAACCAGAAGTACTCTACAAACAGTTATGTCCTGTCTCCTACCACCACAGCCACAACACACGTCATGCTAGCCGAAACACATACTGTTTAATGAAACCCAAAACGAACGCCCTGAAGAAGACTTTCATTTATAGATCCTTAACAGTTTGGAACACTTTGCCACATGAGGTACAAGCAGCAACTAAGAGTAGGTTTAGGCAGGAGTTGTTAGAGCACATGCGTACATAGGCACATGATGATAGGCACATGTGATGTTATTTTTAAATGTTAAGTCTAATGTTGTATGTAAATAATGTTGTAATTTTGATGTGGTGTATTTGTATTATTGTATTTTAACTCCAGGAAGATTAGCTACAAATTTGATTTTGTATGTCTTGTGTGTCGCTAATGGAGTTTAATAAAGCACATAAAGCACATAAAGCACTCTAAGATGTATGGACATTTCTTTTACGGTTTTAGCCCCAAAAAATCACATAAATGACGCCATAATGATGTCATATGACGTCAGAAATACACCAAATCCATCGTTATGATTGAATTAGAACACAACACCATTCTCTAAAATTTTAGTGGAATAACTAGTTTTTTAGTTACAGGGGGCCTCCCCCCCCTCGGCTCCAGCATGGCCAAAAAAGCCCGGTCTGAATAGGGTTAAAAGTAGAAATGACAAAATACAATAGCGTAGGTGCCATATATGCATCCGTTTTGTAACGGCAACACCCAAAAAATTTCGGGGTGGCACCCATAACTAAAAGAACAAAGCTGGCAAAAAAATTATTGCCATGGGAACAGTGTCTGGTTTACTATCTACTGGTATCTATATCTTAATGAATTTATTATGTGATATGGTTGTGGTTTCTACCTTTACTCCAGCAAAGAACTCATTGCTGATTTCCATCGTGCCAGGGATTCCTCCGTCTTTGTACCTGCCGCGGACTTTGCAGACTATCTGGAAAACATCGGTCGAAAATACTTATGAGTTGAATATTCATAACAGTCTACCTATGCGTAAATACGGTTCAGATGTTATCGGATCTAGAAAAATAGATATGTTTCCTCTTATTGCTTTATTAATCAAATTAGCAATAAATACTTCATGGTGATACTTCATGGCAGAAGTGAACCGATACAAAAACAAAACCCTCGTACTGAAACAAATATATTGGGTTAAATTCTATAAACTATACAAGGCTGTCTGACTTTCATTAACATAGCCATGAGTTACTGAATAAGTTGCTATGGAATGGTGTAAACCTTTCTTACCGTCTTCCCCATTCCGGCTTTTAGATCAACTTGTTTCAAGATTGATCTGCTCTCTCCATTTATTAATATGTCTTCGAAGATGGGAGTGTTGTCGGCGACCCAGAAGACTTCGACATTCAGGTTGTCCCTCGGTGGACGGTCGAAGTCGCAGTACAACACGACTTGGTAAGGCTCTGTGCCGCTAGTCAGCTTTGGGTTGGTCGTTATGTCGGGGAAATTAGCTGTGGTGGAAAGTTTGTAACGTATCCAAAATATCGGTATCAATCTTTAATTTCTTTTGGTATGCAGAAATTTTGCAATCAAAAGAACACAATATCTCTTCTTGCATGAGCTGAAATGACATAACTTGGTGCTGTAACGTTAACCTTGACGCATAAGAATGTCAACATCAGATTGGGCTGGGGTCGTTTGATGTACACTTCATTCAGGTTAAGACGTAAGTCCAGACAATGTCATGCATATTGCTGTTGGGGACAGATTCATAACATGCGCTCATGCGACACTGTCAAATTGTGACGTTTGATGTTTGTGATATCTTGAATTTATACCCGATATAATGAGGAAGGCCAATGTCATCCCATACTCGTATCTTAATATACCTATGGGGTATTATGTACTTCTAGGTCGAGCAAAAACCATGTGAAAGACTTACCCGAACAGCCAGGTGTGAAGCCGTAGTTTTCTGAGCTCTGTCCTGGTGGGCACGGCTCGTTGGTCCCTTTTGGGGAAATAAAGTTGTGGGTTTGCGGCAATGTAACCATTGCATCATCAATTCTTTCCAGACTTTTACAAACCTGTTTACAGTATATATGCTAATCTTATTACATTGTGTCTATAACCTACCGGTAGGATAAATCTTTAGGAGAGAAGTTTTATAGATTTGAACTTCTCTGGACAAAAATAGATTTTTTCTCTTATAAAATATCCATGGCTTTTTGTAATATGTATTGTTCCCACCTGCACAGTATGCTTGTTCACAGCCGGGTGTGGGGGGTAAGAGATAGACGTAGTACGGTTCAGGGGGTCCATCACACTGCCTGACTTTGATGCCCCAACAGTTGGCCTCACAGTCTCCACTGAGGGACCTGTGGCACGCCTGCCTAGTGACTTCACCGTCAGATATCGTTGGAAGAGAGCCTGTCACAGCACAGGATAGAACAATACTTTAGATTTCTCACATCCGGATCAGGTCTATTGGAATTTCGTTTGAAGCCCGAACCGAATTATCCATCGGATGATATTCTGTCACTTACTTCAAAATATGGAAGAAACAAATTCAAAACATCATTACTTGCAAACGTGCATTCTATCATTACACAAAATGGCATAGACCACACGGTGGTCGTTTGCATCACCGTGGCTACATCTCCCTAGTGCAATCTTCTGAAATGAAAACACTGTAGACTTTATTTGGCTAGAACCAAACCCATCTCTCAATAGCTCTCTAAATAAAAAGGAGGGAAATGTTTGGCTGAGTGACTAGGCAGAAGAGACGCGATAGAGCCTTCGCCACCGATTTACAACTTTAAATAAAAAAACTCACCTTTCATCCAAACAGGTCCGACGGTTGAGCAGCTGCTGGGTGCGAGTAGAGAGCAGTCCGTTGGGATCTCTCCGCCCGCTGGGCTGACGAACCGGTACCACTGGGTCCTCAGCCCGCTGTCGCACCGGAACGGGCCGCCTGGGGTCGCTTCGATGCCGGTACTTCTGGAGGGCTCGTCAAGTGCCACGTAGCTGGTACATGGATCGCCAGGCGACACGGCTGTCAAAAAAGAGCGCAAAACACAACCCCTTTTGTTTGCTTGTTAGTTTGTTTGTCCATCCGTCCGTTTGTTTTGTTTGTTTGCTTGCTTGTTTGTTTGTTTTTTTTTTGTTTGTTTAGAACAGCCGATCTAACCCATCTTGGCGCAATAGGGTGGGAGTATCGTAGAGTGTTGTGGTCGGTCGCCTACTTTGTGGTTTAGCACGTCCTTGGGTATTGGATTACATGAAGAAACAAATAAACTGCTATAATCAAAAGTGAAAAAAAAGTCAGACTAATTTGCATCATGTTGTTGTTTTGATTGTCTGACTTTTATTCCATTTTCGAGTTCACTTCACTTTATTTGCATATTAATCAATAGTCTGGCCGTGAGCGGTTGCGTGCATCGTTCTTTGCGCAAGTTGTAAGTCAGTTGTACATGCTTACAACGTACGATCTCTGTACGATTGCAACTTTATCGTAAGGAGGCCGTACTCACACGTTCTTCTTCCGCACGGCACGTACGGGGCACGCGCGTCGCAATAGATTGCTGGTAGAACACTTTATACACAGGCATTTAATGAAAAAAAGGTTGCCTTGTTACCCTGACAAGTATCTCCGATCCTCTTCCAACCAACGCAGCACTCGTAGTAGGTGAAGTACTCTTTGCGGTAAACAGTAACCCAACTCCGGTGGTATCTATCCACGAGAAATCAAATTGTAAGAACAAACTATACATCGCAAACTGATGCAAACATGCACCGCCTATACCTATACCATCTAGATAAACGTATAAAGCAATTGATGAATGGGGTAGTGTATTGATAGTCCAAAAGCTGACGTAAGTAGAATAGTATTGCCAAATATGATATTTGTCTAAAGATATGGGTAATGTTTAAGCACGATAGCATAATCCATTGTGGGATTTTAATATGGTTGTCATTATTGTACAACGTACTTACGAAAGAGGTACAATGATGCTTTGGAACATAGTTGACAGTTCCAATGTCGTATACGCGACCTGTCGGGACGCCTGACGTGTACACACCGCGCCTTCAGGTCTGTGGAAACAGAACACGGTGAACAAAGGTTTGTATGTTTTGTCCTTTATTTCCAAATTAATTAAGCATGATGATATCTTGTTCAATATTTATA